AGGTTTTCTTCCTGTCCCTCTGGGACTCCAATAATTCTTATGTTACCCCTCTTGGCTTCATCACGATCTTCTCTTGCCATCTGTTCCCGAATTGTGAGTCTCTTTTCCATTTTCTGCTCTTTTCGGGAGAGTCTCTGAACTTCATCTTCGAGCTCACTGATTCTGTTCTCAGCCGCTGTTACTCTGCTGCTGAGGCCTTCCACTGAGCTTTTCAATTCGCCTACGAGATTTTTCAGGTCTGACATTTCTGATTGCATTTTCCTCATTTCTGCCTTCAGATCCTCTTGTCTTCTATTGGCATTGGTTTCCATTGTTTCTTTTAATTCCCTAAGCATCCTAAGTAGCTCCCTTCTGAATTCCTTGTCAGAGAGGTTGTCTAACACTACAGTACTGTTGGTGTCATCTGGGCTAGACTCTTCAATATGAATGTTTGGTGGGCTTTTGCGTTGCTTTACCATTGTGAGAGGTGTGGTTTAGTCCTTCACGTTCTGCTTGATATGCAGTGTGAGTTAAGATAGGCTTATGAGTTATTGGCAAATGTATTTCTAGTGGCTGAGCTAAAATAGAGAAGTTTCCATCTAAGAAGTTAGCTTATGGTTCCTATGGCATATGTAGTGGGAAAATATTTCGCGGCCGCGTTAGCGGCCGCGGCTCCGGAAAGAGTCCCTGGCACTGGGCGAGGAGTTGGGAATGTCTCCTGTTTGGAATTGGAGCCGTTCAGCTTTGTTGCCCAGAGCTGGGCCTCTGTGCCCTCGCACGCGGCTCAGGGGTTGAAAACCGGCTGTCTCGGGGCTGTTTCTAGCTGCGCGTGCCCAGAGAGGAACCCAGGCCCTTGGGGACGGGCTGTACCTGTTGGAATTGGAGCCGTTCAGCTTTGTTGCCCAGAGCTGGGCCTCTGTGCCCTCGCACGCGGCTCAGGGGTTGAAAACCGGCTGTCTCGGGGCTGTTTCTAGCTGCGCGTGCCCAGAGAGGAACCCAGGCCCTTGGGGGCGGGCTGTACCTGTTGGAATTGGAGCCGTTCAGCTTTGTTGCCCAGAGCTGGGCCTCTGTGCCCATCCCACGCGGCTCAGGGGTTGAAAACCGGCTGTCTCGGGGCTGTTTCTAGTTGCGCGTGCCCAGAGAGGAACCCAGGCCCTTGGGGGCGGGCTGTACCTGTTGGAATTGGAGCCGTTCAGCTTTGTTGCCCAGAGCTGGGCCTCTGTGCCCTCGCACGCGGCTCAGGGGTTGAAAACCGGCTGTCTCGGGGCTGTTTCTAGCTGCGCGTGCCCAGAGAGGAACCCAGGCCCTTGGGGGCGGGCTGTACCTGTTGGAATTGGAGCCGTTCAGCTTTGTTGCCCAGAGCTGGGCCTCTGTGCCCGTCCCACGCGGCTCAGGGGTTGAAAACCGGCTGTCTCGGGGCTGTTTCTAGTTGCGCGTGCCCAGAGAGGAACCCAGGCCCTTGGGGGCGGGCCAGTTTTCTTTTTCAAGGAAACCTCTTCACTTTTCGCTATCTGATCTCTTTTTATAACTGATATTCTGACAACTCATGGAATTTATTGTTGTTATTGTCGGTTTTGGCTTCTGGGTCAGACTGAGGAGGAAGCCCTGAGCATAGAGCTTCCAGGAATGAGCCCTGAGCACAGAGTCAGGAGTGAACCCCAAGCACAGAGCCAGGAGTGAGCCCTGAGCACAGAGCCAGGAGTGAGCCCTGGGCTCAGAATCAGGAGTGAACTCTGAGCACAGAGTCAGAAGTGAGCCTTGAGCACAGAGCCAGGAAAGAGCTCTTAGCACAGAGGCCAGAAGTGAGCCCTGAGCACAGAGCCAGGAGTGAGCTCTGAGCACAGAGCCAGGAGTAACTCATGCTTATTCCTAGCAGTGCTGGGGGGACCATCTAGGGTGCCAACGATGAAACCTGGGGAGGCCAGGGCAGACAGCAGGGAAGAGTCAGTGCCTGACCTCTGGATTGTCTCTCCAGCCCCTGTGGAATCCTTTCTGGTCCAGAATCGCACGTTACCTTCCATGCTCGTGGGCCAGAGTATCACCTCAGCTAGAGACAGTCTTGGCAGCTGCCACACACAAAGTTGGGGGACAGAGAGACAGTGAGGGCCCAGGATGACAGGGGATCTTGTTGGGAGTACTTCAGCCACGCCAGGCTGCTTCTCCTGGGAATGCCTGGAACAAGAGAGAGATGTTCGGATAAGCTTGTTGAGCTCTGACGAGAAAGAGCAAGACTTTGGAGAGTGATGTTACATAGAAGTGTGATAAATCAAGGATGGATGACCTTATAAATATGCATGTAAGTCGGGCTGTTCTGCTCACATTAATGACTTCGCCTGTTATTTTTAAGTGTTAACTGGGGTGTATTAGACTTTGAATATCGTACTGGAATGGATACTCACTAGCTTGGAGTGTTGGCAGTTTTCCAGTATAGGGAAGATGCTGCAATACATCATTTTTTTGGTGGTAGTTCAATAGAGACTATTGAAATGATGAGAAAATGTGATTAAGGCTACTTATGAAAACAACACTGCTTTTATTTTTATTTAAAATATTCCCATTTCTGGAATCTGAAGAGCTTTTAGTTTAGTCTTTTTCCCCGTTTATTTGAGTGAAGATTTGGGGCTCTTTTTTTTTTTTGCCACACCCAGCAGTGCCCAAAAGCTACTCTCAGCTTGGTTCTTGGATCACCATATGGTTCCAGATAACAGACTTGGGTCTTATACGTGCTAATCATTCAGGCCAGCCCATTGATTCATTCTCTGGCCCGTGAATGGAAGATCTTGAGAAAGTAAATGGAGTAACAGTATCGTAAACCACAGTGCCTGAAAGGGAAAAAAAGTTGAGTGGGAGGGAAACTGGCGACATTGGTGGAGGGAAGTAGACACTAGTGAAGGAACTGGTGTTGGAACATTGTATGCTTGAAACTCCATCACAAATATCTTTTTGTAAGGGCTGGAGAGATAGTACAGTGGGTAGGGCGTTTGCTTTGCAAGCAGCTGACCCTGGTTCTATCCTCATCATCCCAGATGGTCTCCCAAGCAAAGCCAGGAGTGATTTCTGAGTGCAGAGCCAAGAGTAACCTCTGAGCACCACTGAGTGTGGTCCTAAAAGCAAAACAAATACACAAACAGAACCAAAACACAAATATCTTTGTAACTTTGTAGTGTAAGGTAATTCAGTGTAAAATTACTTTTCGATTTTTAAATTTTTTTTCTTTTTTTTTTAAATAGTGACTGAAAGTGCCATAATGTGACTTAGTGGCAGAGTACATACCTTCCATGGGTGAAGTTCTGCATTCAATCCCTAACACATGCAAGTATACTCACACACAAAACACAAAACACTGTACTGCAGGGACCCAGAGAGATAGTATAGTGGTTAGAGCCATTGCCTTGCATGCAGCCTTCTTGCTTCAGTCCCTGTCACCACAGCATTCACTAAGAAGAACCCCAGCAAATCTACCACAGTCAGGAGTAGCCCCTGAGCGCTGCTGGCTATGAAACAGCCTCTTCCTTCTCCCTGCCCACCCCCCAGTTGGGCTCATAGACCACTCGAAAACATCTAGAAGTTATCCAGATTCGATCCTCCAGGACTGTCTAAATTCTGACTCCGAACACACTGGGAATTTCGGCATTTTGATACTTCAGGTCTCGCTAAGTGAGAGGTCAGATGCCCCATGGGGCTCGGAAGCCAACGTAAATGAAGCATATTGAACTGGGGACATTAGCAAGCCAACTCTTAATTTTGTTAGATACAGTAGAAGTCAACCAAAGGAGACTCAGTGACATCCAGTCTTTTTTGAGGGCGGTTTCTGGGGCCTCACCCTATGCTGCTCAGAAGCTTTCCTGGGCTCTGTGCTCAGGGATCAGCCCAGATGGTGCTCAGGATCAAAAAGCAGCTGTACTATTCGCTCCTCAGTATCCACGGGCAGTGAAAGGGTTTCTCTGGATTCACCTTCCGGTGCAAAGTAATGAAAAGATCACTTCCACATTGACTCTTCTCCTTATTTCTAAGTGTGTCTTCCGAGGCACTTAAAATAAATGTAAAGGGCTGAGAGATGGTACGGGAGAAAGGCCAGTGTGCCCCAAACCTCACTGCATTCCACCCTCCCCCCCAAAAAAGATAAAGCAAAGAGTGATGGTCACAAATATTTAGGATCAAGGCCAGGGAGGAATCAGAGGCACAAAATCTAGAAGGAGAACTTGGTTCCAGTTTTGTTCCTTTCTGTGTGACTTTGCTGAGCTGCTTTTTTTTTTTTCTTTTTGGGTCACACCTGGCGATGCACAGGGGTTACTCCTGGCAGTGCTCAGGGGGACCATATGGAATCCTGGGAATTGAACCTGGGTCAGCCACGTGCAAGGCAAACGCCCTACCCGCTGTGCTATCACTCCAGCCTCTTTGCTGAGCTACTTAACATTTCCATTTCTCACTAGGGAAGTTGAGCTAACAATACCTACTGGGAGACCATCAAATACTGGGTACCTGGGAAGGTTAAGTGAAAAAAGCCTATAAGTGCTTGTACTTCAATACTCGTAATTGCAGTAAATGCAGGTAACCACTGGTCCACATAGTGATTCAGCACAGTGGCCAGTAACAGTGGTTGTTAATCCTGGCTGGTTTTTATTTTACATTTGTCCTCTACTAGTATTTTGAGATGCCACTTTTATCTTGCAGCTTCTCTGACGTGATGAGACTTTTGTCTAGTATTTTTTATTTATTGTCTATTAGCTTCATAAAGGGCTGGCATTGGCCACTCAGGGTTTTTTTTTTTTTTTCTTCCCGGGGCTTCTCTTTGAAAAGGACCAGGCACTGCTCAGCAATGACATTCAAATGCCTCCAAAAGCCCGTTTCCCGATAGGCCCCGGGGATCACTGTATTTGCACCAGAAGGTTTCAGATTGGCCACTTGGTGCAGGAGGTATCCCCTCCCCTACCCCCTACCCCGGCCCCTGAGTCCCCCCAGTTTTCTGCAGCACACAGCGGTCACTGGGCCTGGGTGAATGCTGTCTTTTGTCCCTGTAGCCTCTGCAGTCCCTGTCCCTGGCCGACTCCAAGCTCAAGACAGACGTCACCATCATCATCAATGCCTTGGGAAGCAACACGTCCCTGACCAAAGTGGACATCAGCGGGAACGCCATGGGGGACATGGGCGCCAAGATGCTGGCCAAGGCCCTGCAGATCAACACCAAGCTCAGGTAGGCGGGGCAGAGCTGGCCCTCGGCCCAGAAGAGACCCTCAACGGGCAAGCCCCTGTCCCCCCATCTCCCCCATGTCCCGTGAGGCCAGCAGGGAGGGAGAGGCGTGCCCAGCTCCAGCCTCTGTCAGATGTGGGGGAGGGGCTCCAAGATTCAGTCATCTGAATGGTGCCCCTGGTGAGGTCGGCCTGACTGGGCGCAGTCACTGTTTCCTGCTTCCTGTCAGACTGAGGCTGGGAGAGTCAGTCATCAGTGCCAGTTGGCACCAGTGGGCAGCGGCACACTGCAGAGTGTGCTGATTGAGAGCCTGGCATCCGATTGCCCCCTTACCACTCCTCCCAGTGGAAAGGGAGTTACAGGGGAGAGGGGTGAGGGGTCTTGGTTCAAAGGCAAGTTTATGCCGCCTCTCATTAGCAGTTTTCATCGGCGGAGTCCAGTGCAGGCTCTGCACGAGCCGTGTACTCCCCAAGTCCCCCTCAGCTACACAGAGAGATCGGGGTGAAGGAAGAGTCAGCCCTCATGGCCTGCCATAGCCTCTGTCTCTCCATAGTTCCCTTGATCTCAGAAGTTCCTTATTCTGGGGGCTGGAGCGATAGTATTAGTGGGTAGGGACTTTGCTTTGCACGCGGGCCACCTGGGTTCGATTCCTGGCATCCCATTTGGTCCCCCGAGCACCACCAGGAGTAATTTCTGAGTGCAGAGCCAGGAGTAACCCCCGTGAATCATTGGGTCTGACCCAAAAGCAAAAAAAAAAAAGAAAAAGTTCCTTGTTCTTCAGTATGAGATGATCTGAAGCTTCTAACTAAACAAAAGCCTGTCCCCTTCCCCTTCACCATCCCCCCCTCCAAAAAAAAATTGACAATTTTCCAAGGGCCAGTATGTGTGTCTAAAAGGTTCTGGAGGAACATGCTTAGGGGAGGGAAGCCAGCATGGTCCGGGCAAATGAAAGCCACTCCTTGGGTCAGGGTCAGGGGACTGGACAGAGGCTCAGACATTGCTGGCGTCTTCACATCCTGAAGGTAAACAAACTGGCACCATCCTCCCAAACAGCGTGTGTGCTTGAACCATCACTGTGATGTTCATGAGGAAAGAGAAGGTCGCGAAACTGCTACTCACGCTGTCAGGGAATAGTTGGGAACTCTGATGGTGACCAGATTCTCTCCAGGTCTTTAAAATGGAAAAGGCCTTGGGCCCCACAGGTTTTTCTGTTCATCATGGGTGTGATGAGCTTCTTTATAACTTCCACCTTCAGATACACATACCGCGTTACTCCCGGGAGGCCATGAGACCTGGCGGGCTGTAGAATGCCCTGGCTAGGACAGCCATAGGCAACTTAATGGTCAGTTTATGTTTGTTGCTGTATGTTGTTTCTCACGTTGTTGGAGCAGTACATGTGTTAAGAACATCCTGATGTGGGAAAAGCATGTTCTTGCTTTGTGGGACATGAGCGTCATTCCTGGTTCCCAAAAACGCCTTTGTGCTTGGACACTCTTGCTTCTGAGAGATGTATCTTTTTGGTTTTTTTTTAATTTTATTTTATTTTCATAAAGTTTATTTACAGTAGTTTATTACATTTAATATTCCAACACTGATCCCACCACTCTTATACCTTCCCACCACCATATTTCAAATGTTTCTACCCCAACTCCCAAAGCTTGCCCCCACAGCAGGACCTAAATCATCTATTTTGTATTGCTTGTTATGAAGAATCTAATAAAAATGATCCCAAAAGGTTTCCTTAGAGAAAAGTGTGTGAAGATTGTTGTATCTCACCCTGGAGCCATTAAGCCCTTGTATCGGTGTGATGCATCTTTTGTGGGAGAATTATGCCTTCTCTTCCCGAGTGTCTGACCACGGGTATGATTTGATTTTCCAACAGGACTGTGATATGGGACAAGAACAACATCACGGCACAAGGCTTTCAGGACATTGCCGTCGCTCTGGAAAAGTAAGTTCCTGGGAGGACCTTTCTGGAAAAAACACGGAAGAAACCAGGGTGTCTGTGCTATCTGTGGGGTAACAGAGGGGGGCCCTAGACTGGGGACCGGAAGACCTGGGTTTGAGCGGGTCTCCTGCTAACAAGCCTGACTCCTAGGAAGCTTCTCCGTATGATTCTACCACTGCAGATCACTCTGGTGGGGATAGCAGGTACCCTATGTTCCTGCCTGGCATGTGACTGCACTTCACAGACATGACACTTGTTTTGTTTTAACTGAATCACTGTGAGATACAGTTACAAAGCTTTCATGGCTGCGTTTCAGTCCCAATAATCAAACACCCATCCAGGGTGCATTTTCCACCACCAATGTCCCCACTGTCCCTCCCGCCATCCCTACCCCATCCCACCCCCTGCCACTGTGGCAGGCACCTTCCTTCTAACTCTCTCTGTACTTTGGGGCATTATGGTTTGCAATACCGATACTGAGAGCCCGTCCTGTTTGGTCCTTAGTCTACTTTCAGACATTGCACTTTTTTGTTGGGGGCAGCTATTCAGTGCTAGGGACCAAACCCAGCGCCCTGCCTGTAGAACTCACCCCAGGCCTTTGGGTCACCTTCCCCATCGGGCAGTCCCCAGACCTCGAGCCTTCTGCATGCAGACGTGTGTCCCAGCCTTCTGAGCTCTCTAGGCCCCGTAATCTCCCTCTTCACCCCCTTTATTTTTGGTATTTGGGCCACACCTGATAGTACTCAGGGCTTACTCCTGGGTCTACACTCAGGAATCACTCCTGGCAGGGCTCTGGAATGTGGGGATTGAACCCAGGTCAGGCCCCTGCAAGCCACAGACTGTCTTGCCAGCCCAGGATCTCCCTTTAGTTGTTCATCGAAGGTGACAAGCAATTGTGTTGCTGTTATTCTTTTTTAGCCACCTAAGTGTTGATTTCCTTCTTTTTTTTAATTACGTGAAGCAAAATACTTTTTAATATTATTTTTTTACTTTATCGAATCACCATGAGATAGAGGATTACACATCTGTTCATGATTGGGTTTCAGTCATAGTGTTCCAATACCCATCCCTCCACCAGTGTGACTTCCCAACACCAGTGTCCCCAGTTTCCCTCCCATCACCCTCCCCCCCCAACCCAGCCTGTCTCTCTCTTTCTCTACAAAATAGTTTTATTGAAGGAAATTTGGAGAGGTAATGAGGGGAGAGAAAGGAAGGGTGATTGGGTGTTTGTGAGAGAGTGTGTGCTTTCTGAGAGTAAACAAAGGCTGGTTAGTACAGTGGGTAGGGCGTTTGCCTTGCACACGGCTGACCCGGGTTCGATTCCCAGCATCCCATATGGCCCCCTGAGCACCGCCAGGAGTGATTCCTGAGTGCAGAGCCAGGAGTAACCCCTGAGCATCGCCAGGTGTGACCCAAAAAAAGAAGAGAAAAAAAACATTTTTAAGCAGTAGTGTGTGTGTGTGTGTGTGTGTGTGTGTGTGTGTGTGTGTGTGTGTGCACGTGCACACACACACGCTTAATATAAGGGTTGTACTTTGTTTTGGACATAATGTTATCAGATAGAGTAAACGATGGCATAATATTTTGTTTGTGGTACTCGGGGCTTACTCCTGGTGGGGTCAGGGAACTGTATGACATGTTGGCATTCGAACCCAGATTGGCCATGAGCCAGGCCAATGCCCTGCCCCCTGTATCGTCACTCCAGCCCTCACTTCAGCATAGTGTTAGCATAACTCTTATAGGCACTGGGAAGGCTAAACTGGGTGTAACCCGTGTGATCATGGCATTCGCCTGATTGTGATGGTCTAGAACATCCCTGCCCCATTCCTGCAATGTGTCTGCAGGGGCCCTCAGGGGAGGCTGCTGGAAGCCTTTCTCCCCCCGCCTGGGAGTCCCAGGAGTCCGTCCCTCTCTCCTGGGTCTTATGTTTAGGCCAGGAGGACAGCAGTGGGCCCCGTGGAGAGAAAAAAAACAAGTCCAGAAGATAAAAATGACATTGATGCGTGATGAGCCTCAGTCTGACTGACGCTTGTCCTCCCTGTGCAAGGTTGATTTTATCACCTGAGTGACGCAGGCCCGCAGCAGTGGTATTTGTCAGCTGCTCTCCTGTCAGCCGGGAACATGGTGACAGAACCAGGGCTGAATAAGTACCAGATAGCTGATTTTTTTATATTAATTTTTTTTAATTTTATAAAGTAGTTCACAATATTTGATTACATTTAATATTCAAACACCAATCCCGCCACTATGACATCTTCCCACCACCCCCTGCCCCAAAGCGGAAATGAAATACTATATTTTGTATTGTTTGTTATGAAAAACTGCTAAAAATGCTACAAAAAAGTTTCCCTAGAGGAAAGAGTGTGAAGATTGTTGTATTTCACCCAGGGGCCATTAAATCCTTCTATAAGAGATCACTAACATGTTGTTAAAGGTTGAATGAACCTTGTGTGCTATCTGTAGCTCTGTCCTCCTGTTGTTCATCGATTTGCTTGAGGGGGCACCAGTAACATCTCACAACAAATTGTTGGTACTGTTTTTTTGGCATATTGAATACCACGGGGAACTTGCCAGGCTTTGCCATGCAGGCTCTCCGAGATCTATATATATCTCCGAGATATATATATATATGCAAAAATATATCTGTAAAAAAGAAAAATATTTCCCTCTAAAATTGCTTGCCTCCTACTTTGAACACCATCGATTATGGTGCAGTACTCTTGGAGAGTGGGTGGCGTATGGTATAAAGTGTCCAGGAATAGGTTCACTTGTAGGTGAGGCTCGGCCCGAGTGTGTGGAGAGCAGTTGAGTTCTGGAGTTTTTGGCTGCCGGGGCTGGGTCCCTTGGGGTAGGGAGGGGTCTCACCCGCCCCCCTCCAGGGTGCCCTGAATGAAACAGCCTGGCGTGGGGTCTGGCAGCATGGTTATGACAGGTGTCGTGTTATGTTCCCTTCCGGGAGAGAAGGGCATGCGATTCATACCTGATTCTTTCTGAGCTTTCCCATCTTCCCCTGGCTTTCTCAAGGCACTGGATTCCATAGCACTAAAAGGTCACAAACACGGGTGGGAAACTGGCTGTCGAGGTGGGTCTCTGGGGCCCTGGTGGTTGTGTGTTTTGCAGATTCTCCCCATGCAGGAGGCCTCCGGGGTGAGCCCGAGGCGTGTGGGTGGAATCGAGATCCGGAATTCAGCGTAAGCTCTCTACTCACTTCCCAACTCCGACACTCACAAATTCTGATGTGACCCTTTCAGCCCGCGCTTCAGTAATGCGTGAGAGTCTGGCCCGATGCTCTTTAAGTATCTTCCCTGGCCTGCTGACCCCCCAACCCCCACTCCTGTTGCTTCCAGAAACCTCCACATAGAATCCTTTCCTTCCAGTTAGCTGCGCTTGGATGCTCCCAGCCCATCAACCCCGCTGCTGACGGTGCAGCAGGCCAGGAAGCCCTGATTTGTCTTTCGGGGAAGCCAAGAGTGTGTGTGTACAGCCAACACTCCAGATTGATGGGGGCCAAGCCCCCGACCGTACTCTGCCCAGGTGCTGGGATTAGACCATATCCGCTTTCAACAAAACCGGGCCTCTGGTCTGATCTAAACTGGAAGAGTCCAAGGATCACCTCCAGAGCAGTAAAGAAGATGTATTGTCTTCTACTTTCAGGCAGACGGCTCTCTTACACCATACCAAGGGAGCTTTTTGAAAATAATTCCGGGGTGTGAAAATGAAAGTCAGAGAGATAGGCCTTTTGGTTTGCTTTTTTGTTTTGTTTTGTTTTGTTTTGTTTGGGGGTCACACCGGCCGTTCTCACGACATACCCCTACATACCCCTGACTCTGCACTCAGGAATGACTCTGAGTGGAACTTCAGGCACTCGGTAGGGTGCCATGGATTGAACCTGGATGATCACGTGCAAAGCAAAACAGCTCCCTGCCCGCTGAAACCCCAGGCTCTGGCCCTGGAGAAATAAGCCTTGTCTTTGCTGTTCATTATCTGTTACAAGCACTCACACAATTGGCATGTGTGATGAAAATTTTCTTTCCAGTTGATCATACCCATCGAGATGATGACCCTTATTAAGACGATTCTTTTCTTTATTATTCCTTCACTCCTAGGACTGTATTTTAGGAGCGAGAAGTGATTTATGCAGTGGGGGAGGAAGAAACACTCTCAGTGGCCTTAGCAGCGGCATTGGGAGTGGGGCTGCTTTTTGTTTGAATACAGAAAATCAGCCAACTGGCCTTCCAGCGTCCTAGGAGAACCAGCCAAGTGCCGCCCCATGGCCCTATGAGTCATTCTTCCTGAGTGTCTCTTAGAGAGAAGGACAGATGTCTTTGTGGGTAGGGGAAAGAAGGCATCTCAGTGCCAGGAGGGGTAAAAGGCGGGCGCAGGTGTGCCCAGTCTCCAGACACCTGGCATTTGCAGCTAGGTCAGACTCAAAGACAGGGATGAGGATGCAGCTTTGTGAGAGCACCTCGCCGCAGCCTGCAAGTGCTGCGTCTCTAGCTGGTCAGCGCTCTCCGCTGTTGCTTCCTGCTGGACTGCTGTCTGACAAAGCAGACCGCCCCTACCACCTTTCCAGAGATGGTGCCTCTTCTTGGATTAGTTTACATCCAAGGGTCCCCGCGTCTGAACACATCATTTCTGTACAAGCTAATTTCCTGGCTCTGCGAGCAAGTGTTCAGTTGGGAATTTGACTTTACTCTTGTACATTCACATCTGCTGGTCACTAGTGCCCAAGAAGCAGGTTAGGATCTGGTCTCCCCCACACCCCTCCCCAACCCCGGGCAGGCTTTCTCTCTGCTCACTGTCTTATTCTGGACCCACTTGAAAACTTCTGCCCTGGATGGAATTAAACACGAAAAACCAGAACCACGTTCCTTCAGAGTTCTGTTGACTCTGTTCATTTCCTAAGCTGTCCACGTGGATTCTAGAACATGCACAGTCTAGGGGCCTAAAACGGTCTGGTGGTGGCAAGTTCTAAGATACTCTGGGTGCTGTCTTTTTGGCCTTTAAAAATGAGGAGGGCTGCGAGGGTGCAAAAAAATCACAGTAGAAATGACATCTGCACCTGTGTGCTCATTGCAGCATTGTTCACAATAGCCAGAATCTGGAAAAAACCTGAGTGCCCGAGAACAGATGACTGGTTAAAGAAACTCTGGTACATCTACACAATGGAATACTATGCAGCTGTTAGAAAAGATGAAGTCATGAAATGCTTTATAAGTGGATCGACTTGGAGAGTATCATGCTAAGTGAAATGAGTCAGAAAGAGAGGGACAGACTTAGAAGGACTGCACTCATATGTGGAATATAAAATAACATAATATGAGACTGACACCTAAGGACAGTAGACACAAGGGCCAGGAATATTGCTCCATAGTTGGAAGCCTGCCTTATAAGCTGGCGGAGAAGGCAGCTGGAATAGAGAAGGAATCACTAAGTCAATGATGGTTGAAGGGATCGTTTGGGATGGGAGATGTGTGCTGAAAGTAGATAAAGAACCAAACGTGCCAGCCTCTCAGTATCTATATTGCAAACCATAATGCCCCAAAGTAGAGAGAGAGTGTGGGGGGGGAAATTGTCTGCCATAGAGGCAGGGGGAGGGTTGGGATGGTTTGTGGGGGTAGGGGATACTGGCAGCATTGGTTATGGAAAATGTGCACTAGTAGATGGATGGGTGTTTGATCATTGGATAGCTGAAACTCAAACATGAAAGCTTTTAACTGTATCTCACGGTGATTCAATAGAAAAAAATGAGGGCTGAATAAAGGTATTAGGAAGTGATTTTTAAATATACACATATTCATCTTTTTCTAGGAACTACACCTTGAGATTTATGCCCATTCCTATGTATGATGCTTCTCAAGCCCTAAAAACAAACCCCGAGAAGACTGAAGAGGCCCTGCAGAAGGTATCGAGATGTCGACAGCTTCATGGTCCCAGATTAATGTTTGAATTGATTATGTTAGGTTTGAAGGTCTGAATGGTACTTGGTGTTTTTACAAGGCTTTTTTTCTCCCCATAGTAGCTAGTTTTCTGTTTTGTTTTTGTTTGGGGGTTACTCCCAATGAATGATACTCAAAGGTCACTCCTACCTGCTCTCAGGAATTACCCCCTGGAGGTGCTGGGAAACCCTTTGAAATGTCAGGGATTGAATTTAAGTCAGCCGCATGCAAGGTAACACCCTACCCACTGTACTATCACTCCAGCCCCAATAAGGTCATTTTCTTAGCACGAATCACATCATGCTTGACTGTAGCAGAAAGGAAAAATAAGGAAGATTCAAAATGTCATGAAATTGAAGTGAGGACAGTAAGAGCCTTTTTGGCATCAACACGCCAGAACCAAGGCCTACTCTGTCCCTTGGAGAGCGCGTGCGACTGTCATCTCGGTCCCCTTCTGCCTCTGCAGATGACGCTCCTGTCCTTCCTGCCTCGAGAATGCAAGGTGTTGATGCCATCTCTCCTCACCATCTTTATCCGTGAATCTAAGTCCACCTCCATTTCCGTAGCCTTTCTGTAAACCTGACGTGGGTGGTATCTTCCCCCTTCAAAGTCCAACATGTTCTGCACAGAAGTTGCCCTGGGAAGGACTTCCTGTTCACTTTCTGTGGTCAGGGCTGTCATTCTCCCCATTTTCACGTAGCTCCCACCCACAGAAGCCTTTCCACTGTGACTCAGATGCACCTGGGGCATCCTTGAGTCTTTCTCCCACTGGGCAGTTCCACCTTCTAGTCCAGCTCCTACGCTTGACTTCCGCTTTCCCAAATCTCCCTTAGCTCATTGATCATGAGTGCATCCATTGCAGAGCACGCAGCTTCCTCTCAGCTCTCCTTCTCACCCTTATGCCTATAACACGTTCCCGTATTTGGGCCTCATCACCTCTCACACGATCATGTTCGCTTCCTCTTGTCTGTTGTCCACGTTGCAATAAAAAATAGGCACCTGGGGCTGAAGCGATCGCACGGCAGGTAGGGTGGTGGCCTTGCACGCAGCCGACCCATGTTCGCGTCCCAGCATTCCATAGGGTCCCCTGAGCACCGCCAGGGGTTAATTCCTGAGTGCAGAGCCAGGAGTAACCCCTGAGCATCACTGAGTGTGATCCAACAAAGAAAAGAAAATAGGCACCTTAGGAATTAGTAACTCGGGCATCAGGCTCATACTTTGATGAGGCCCAGGGTTTGATTACCCACAAGTGTGGTCCCCATCTCCCCCTGCTATCTTCCAATTCCCTAGCTGACTTATTTCCGAGTAAAGTTTTATCCATTCAAACTCTTTCATCCACCCCTCCCCCAGTGACTTTTAGGATTAATCCTGACCTGAGAGTCTGCCCTAGACGTGTCTGCGATCCTCCACCTGCCCCATCTCTTACTGACCCTTACTTTTTGCATTCCCCCCCCACCCCCCTCCCAGGGAATTTGCCAGAAAGGCAAATTCTTGGGCCTCACATCTTTGGGGTCCCAGTACCCTTTCCCCCTCCTCAGTTTATCTGGTTGTCAAGCTGAGGACTCACTGCCCTTATCTGCATGAGTGTCATGTCTTCCCCACCAGGCTGCCTGTCTGTCTAGATGGAAATCAAGTGTCAGCCTTTCCGTGGAAGACTTCTCAGCCCCTGTCTTCCCCTAGTGGGAGATCTCAGAATTCCCTCGGATCCCAGCCATTAGCCTTGTGACACTGTCTTGAGTCACCTGCTTCATTATATTTTTCTCTGAGAGAACTGTGAACCCCTCGGCTGTGGTATCTAGGTACTTTCCCTCATTTATCCTCTGCTGCTAGCCAAGTGCCCCGGCATACGTGTTTGAACTCTCCATGTGTTGAATGAAAGGGAATATAATCATGGATTAGAGGATGAAACGCTGTACTGCAGCAAAAGATTCAAAGTCAGATTGCCCTAAACCAAACACTGCCCAGCTTTGAAACTTGTTTTTAAAGCCAGGCACTTGGTTAGTTATTTTTCTGAACTTCAGTTTCTTTAGATAAAGCTAGATATTAACTCTGTTTAGCAGATATGGCAAATGGTAACCACTGGGTATGTGACGCTTTGAAAAATACTTTACAGAGATTAGCACGTGTAATCTTTAAACCCACAAAGTAGGTTCTGGTATGTCCCCATTTTACAGATAAGAAACTGAAGGGAAGGGAGACTGAGTCATTTGCCTGCGGTAACTGTGAGGATTAGATGATGTAGTACAGATATGATAGAATAAAGCAGCATACGGACACAAATACCCTTTCCCCCCAAAATTAGGCAGCTTGTAATGAAAAGGCATATTTTAGAGAAACCGGTTGGTTGGTTTCTGTTCTGATCTGATATAAAGAGCTTAAAATCCGTTCCTCCTCCCTTCTGCACCACAAGGAAAAAAGGCCAAACAAACACAGCTGCTGACTTTGCTTAGTTTTGTTGGAGACTTTAGGGCACAGGGCAGAGTTTCTGCGAAAACTAAAGAGATGGGTCTTGAGAGACTCTTGGTGAACCAGAGCTGAACTGGTGGCCCCAGGACCCACATGGACACATGCTCATAATAGATGGCTTGCGGTCAGTTATTTATTTATTTATTTATTGAATCACTGTGAGCTACAGTTACAAAGCGTTCATGATTGAGTTTCAGTCATACAATGATTGAGCACCCATCCCTCCACCAGTGCACATTTTCCACCACCAATGTCCCCAGTGTCCTTCCCACGACCCCCATCGCACCCCTCCCCCTGCCTCTATCTATGGCAGACCGTTTCCCTCTGACTCTCTCTCTACTTATGGGCATTATGTTTGCAAAGGAGACACTGACAGGCCATCTTGTTTGGTCCTTTATCTATTTTCAGCAGGCATCTCTCATCCCGAGTGATCCCTCCATGGTCAGTAGTCTAAGGGCTAAAACCCTCTGAGAACTTTTTAGAAGAGATGCTGACTCTTCCAGGGTTTTACCTCCTGGAGCCCCACACAGTTGTCATATCAGAGATGGGGGAAAACTACCCTTGTCTGGGGGTAGTGGAAAGGGAAAAGCATTCTGTCCTAAGTCACAAAGGCGCCTTAAGGGAAGCTATTCCATCAAAGGCCTCATTTATTCTGGGGCAGATTTTCCCAGCCTTTTTAGCCTTCTGCTTCTTCATAGAAGGTAGAAAAAGCAAGAACACACCAACAAACAGCTCTGTGCATCCCGGCCCAGGGACACTGAATAAGAAAAATGAAAATAGGCCTGCAAAAAAGAAAAAAAAATGTAACCCTAAGATAATGAAATGCTTTCTCTTACTGGATCACTACTGAACTGCACTGTAAGACTCTATTCAAAAAGGAGTTTCTAGGGAAGCTCAAAAACCAGTGTCAAGACAAAAACAAATTTACTCTAAGAAATTCAAGCTGTGGGCACGTGTAACTGTGTGCAGCCGGCATTCCGGACACCCCGTTCTCCCACAGTGACATGAAACTAATGACCGTAGTTCTTGTTACCAGATGCATCATACCTGGCTTTCAGAAATGACAAGGCCCGCTACAAGGCCTGAAAAATAGCAAACCTCACCACCAGACTCAGTGACACAGATTGGGAAATTAGCAGACAGGGAAGTTAAATGAACTCGACCTAACAGGCTCTTAGGAAAGCCTAAAAACACACAAGAACCTAATGATGCCTTTTTGGCAGGTCTGATTGTTGGGGAAAATTCCAAATGATAATGGTGGGTCTATTGTTGTAATATTGAATGTGATCAAAATAGAGAGAGAGAGAGAGTAAAGTGGAAATCTGCCACACCGGCAGGGGGAGGGTTGAGAGGGGGGTATACTGGGGTTCTTGGTGGTGGAAAATGTGCACTCGTGAAGGGATGGGTGTTTGATCATTGTATGACCAACCGAGACTTTAAACTGGAAAGTTTTGTGGCTGTTCTCACGGTGATTCAATAAATTAAAAAATTAAAGAAAAAAAGCATGCAAGAAGAGACAGGTAGGCAAGTGATACAAAACAGAGAGAGGGATAATTTTTTTTTTCTTTTTGGGTCACACCCGTCGATGCACAGGGGTTATTTCTGGCTCATGCACTCAGGAATTACTCCTGACAGTGCTCCGGGGAGCATATGGGATGCTGAGAATCGAACCCGGGTCGACTGCGTGCAAAGCAAACCCCCTACCCGCTGTGCTATCGCTCCAGCCCCGAGAGGGATATTTTAAGACAGCATAAGAAGGGATTGTGAAGATCAGGAACCCTGTAAGAGACCAGTGATCTTAGCTTATATTTTAGTGTACTTTCCCCACTTCACATATTTAGAAATTCATTGTTACAAAACTTAATTCTCTGGAAGAAATGTGTTCTTTAATTCTATTTTACTAACACACAAGACTGATTCTATGCTTCCTTTAAATAGCAAGATACTGGTACTTCATAAGCTTCTTTGTATGCGCTTTCCTCCGTGGGACGGGAGACCATCTACCTGGCTCTAGCTTGTCCCCTGGAGCGCCCTCTGCTGCCCAAGGGTAGTATCAAACCTCACAGGGACCCTCTGAGTCCTTTTCAGTTTAACCTAAACTGGTCCAGCCTTCCTTCGACCAGAGGAGATGGGGCTTTCTTGGACCAGAGGGCTGTGTGGAAGAAAAAAAAATGCCGTTATTCTAAGATGTAAATACTTTCAGTGGTGACACCTATGTGACAGATATTACAGACATTTCAACATTGCAACTCTTCCTTCTAGCACTGGTTCCTGGGGGAGAAAAAAGAGCTTATGTGTTTTTGTTTTAGGGATACACCTGGTGATGCTCAGGGGTTACTCCTGGCTTTGCACTCAGGCATCACTCCTGGCGGTGCTCAGGGAAGCCTAAGCTCCGGGGAGCATATGGGATGCCGGGAATTCTACCCATTTCAAGGAAAATGCCCTACTCACTATCCTATTGCTCTGGCCCTTTAGAATTTTTTTTTTCTCCCTTCATGTGTGAACCAGAGTGATAGTACAGCAGGTAAGGTGCTTGCTCTACACACGGCTAACCCGGGTCATCCCAGGCACCACGTATGGTTCCCCCTTAGCCTACCAAGAGTTACTCCTGAGCACAGAGCCATGAGTCTAGCTTTGAGCACTGCCAGGTGTGGCCCCAAGACAAACCCCCAAAACTTTCCCTTCATGCGTAACATAAGGTTATTGATCGGTGATCTTGGCCATTTTTGTGGTAGTGAGGTAAGGCAACTATGTACCTCCAATCCATAAGCATGAACATATTGTGAACATGGGGCCCAAACTATAATAATTACACTTTTTGATGAAGGGAATAGGGAAGGGAGGGGACCTTGAGACAGTTGGTGGAGGGTCACACACCTGGTGGTGGGCATGGCGTTGGGACATTGTATTCTGAAGCTTTATTATAAATAGTATTATACATTATGGTTCCGGGGCTGGAGTGATAGCACAGCAGGTAGGGTGTTTGCCTTGCATGCAGCCGACCCGGGTTCGATTCCCAGCATCCCATATGGTCCCCTGAGCACCGCCAGGAGTAATTCCTGAGTGCAGAGCCAGGAGTTACCCCTCTGCATTGCCAGGTGTGACCCAAAAAGCAATAAATAAATAAATAAATTATGGTTCCAAAAAAGAGATGGGAAGAAAGGGAAAAAAATCCCTCTATGCATAAGCTCCTCCAGCAGACTTTATGCACTTGGGGGAATTCTGGGCCCAACTATTGGCTCAGTTTTGGGGTATTTCCTGGGAGGAGCAAGTCCCAGTAAACAGACCATTCTCAGGACCAAATGTCAAGGAACAGGTAACAGCAGCAGGGCCTGGGCTGGGTGCGGTGTGGCCTGCCATATTTCAGACAATAGTCGCCTCAGCAGAAACCTTTTATTTCACCTTGGAAAGGGGTGACTTCGTGTGAAGTGGCAAGAGAAAATTAATGTAATGAATGTCGTGGTATTAATGTGTCGCTTTAATGATGTTTCATTTCGGAATCTTTCCAGTGTTATAATGTCTTCATTTGTGTTTAGTCAAAAGGTACATTTTTATTCTGCTTTATAGTTTTCAGAGACGATAGTAATTATAGTCTCTATTTTAATTGTTCCTAATTTGGTATTAAGTAGTAGTCACTTTAGCATATGGGAAATTAAAATGGAAATATAATAATACTCAGAGCTTTGCAGTGACTAGAAATTCTTAACCGGGGAAGAATGGTGATAAGTTTAAAACCCAATGGTTAAATAGAGGTATTAAAATCTAGCCAAAATAACAACTGAAAAAAGAAAAAGATGACATTATTACCCATCTCAAATCATTCTTTAAAAACACCTTCCAGGGGGGCTGGAACAATAGCACAGTGGGTAGGGCATTTACCTTGCACATGGGTAACCTGGGTTCGATTCCCAGCATCCCATAGGGTCCCCTGAGCACCGCCAGGAGTGATTTCTGAGTGCAGAGCCAGGAGTAACCCCTGTGTGTGACCCCTTTGGGTCACCAGGTGTGACCCAAAAAGTGAATAAATAAATAAATAAATAAATACACCTTCCAAGGTATCCCACTAAACATTTTCCTTGTTAACTGCATTTTCTGTGCAGTGTATATTTATTGCACATTGTGTTTCTGTAAGCCTCATTTCTACCAAGTTTTTTCTACCTTGTATTTTTGAATATTTCATCAGAGTTCGTATATATGAGATCGTTTAAAGATTTTTAAAATTTTCTATAGAAATCCATCTTCTGTCTTTTCACTAGAATTATTCCCTTTTTGAAAACTTGGTAAAAAAATATGAAGCTAGCCCATGTCTTTGGCTTGTACCAGCCTAAATTCCTCAAATTTTGTAGGGTTTCTCTTCTAGGAGCTAGCTGACAGTTTCCACCAGGGAGGAGAGACTCAAAGATCTCCAGAAAGTACCATACACTGTGGGCATATTTGTTTAACTTCTAAACTGTTTGGTGGTTAAAAATTCATGAGAGAAAAGATTGAAATTGTGCACAGGAAAAGTCATGAAAACTCCCATCATGGGCTTTTTAACCCTGAAGGCACTATTAAACATTCTCTTATCTTTGTCAACCACCGAGCACATAAAAATTGCTTCTACTACTTGCAAGTTAAAGTTCCAACTAAATGCAGTTAACAGAGCACGACAGGGAGCATTTCCTGTTTGTGTGTGTGTGTGTGGGGGGGGGGGGGGGGGGGCGGCGGATTGGGAGATTCCAGAGGCTCTGTCTGGAAGGTGTGTGAATTCCTGCTTTGGTTGAAGTTAAGCTAGTGATTCCCTTGTAACTTGATGCTCAGTTGAGTCAAACTGTGTTCTTGAGAGATGCGCGTGTGTTTGATTTTCAGATAGAAAATTATTTGCTCCGGAATCACGAGACAAGAAAGTACCTGCAGGAGCAGGCCTATCGCCTCCAACAAGGCATAGTCACCAGCACCACTCAGCAGGTGAGAGGCCCATCCCCCTCTGTCACCGGAAGCGACTCTTCCACCAGCCAAGGACAAAAACCAGTTTGAAACATCCCCAGTGGGACAACCGGCATTGGTTTGCAAAAATGACAACATCTGTGAAAGTTGATTTTGGGGGAAGATGTGGAGGGAGGAAAAAAATATGGACTGATGCGAAATATGTACTTTTGATTTTTGATGATTTTATACTGCATAAGATTTTTGGCAAGGGCATATTTTAATTTCCCGGGCAAGTGTTCGGAGCCCATGATTACAGGTGATAAAAATCTCGAGGGAATCAGATTTGCTGCTTTGGAGACATTCTGTCCTTTCTCTTCTCTTGCACTTTTCGCATTAGGAAATACATTCCAAAGTCTTCTGAATAATGAAGAATTTGTTGAATATTAATTAATGCTTAAGTGCTGAAGAGAATAGAAAGAATAGAAACTAAATTGCCTTCCTGTTTTATTTCATTTCTCTCTTCCCAATGATAGAGAAGAAAAAAATGAGTTTTAGAAGTAGTGCATAATGTAGTTTTGCTAACATATTAAACAGTTTTGAGAAGCACAAGAGATTTGAAGAAGGCTGATAGCCGCTGAAAGGAAGAGTAACAGAAAACAAAGGGTATAGTAGAGGGTTATTGAAGTCACAAGTAGCTTCAAAGCTTAAAAAAAAGTGAGTAGAAAAAAAGAAAAAGAAGAACAAAAAAACATTTCACTTGAGTCTTGGGATTGCTTATTCGTCACTGGAATGAATCAGAATGAATGGGGAAAAAATATATATCCAGACATACTTGATCAATATCCCAAGAATAAGGGTAAAAAGAAATCATCAAAGAATTCCAGAGAGAATAAACAGGCTATTGTATAATGAAACTAGATCTTAGCAGCCAATAAAGCTTAGAGCACGATTCAGTTTGGACCAAGAATCCTGTATCTAAGCTTTTTTTTTTTTTTCTGCTAGTCAGATATGAAAGCAGAAGAATAAAAATGTTTTCCTGTATGAACTTGTTGGGAGGAATTTTACTCCCAATATTCCATATGGAACCAAGTAAAATGATTCAGCCTGACAAGAAAAAAAAAAAACAACAAACTACAATATGGGCTATAAATAAGAAAGTGTAGCAGAAATGAAATTTCCGGAGTTACAAAAATGGAAAGAAAACTTTTTTTAACCATCTATGTGATTTGAATAATACAATGAGAAACATTTGGTTTTAAAAAAAGAGAGAGGGGCTGAAGCAATAGCACAGCAGGTAGGGCATTTGCCTTGCACACGGCCAACCAGGGTTCGATTCCCAACATCCCATATAGTCCCCTGAGCACCATCAGGAGTAATTCCTCAGAGCAGAGCCAGGAGTAACCCCTGTGCATCAGCGGGTGTGACGAGAGAGAGAGAGAGAGAGAGAGAGAGAGAGAGAGAGAGAGAGAGAGAATATTCCCTAAAACTGCCTCTATGACACTAGTTGCCTTCAGCTGCAGGATCTAGCTAAAGATCTCCGTTTCTTTCCTTTGGATCCCATCATCCTAATTCTGTGACTGCATTTGAGTGGACTTAAAACTATAACTTCATTGTAGACAAGAAGGAAAACTTGTTGCCAAAAAATACTGAAAATATAAGCTGGAGAGATAGTACAGCAGGTAGGGCTCTTGCTTTGCATGTGGCCAACCCAGGTTTCCCAGGTTGGTCCCCAGCATCCCATATGGTCCCCGGGACCCACCAGGAGTGATTCCTGAGTGCAGAGCCAGGAGTGACCCCTGAGCACTGCTGCGTGTGACCCCAAAACAAACAAAAACTGAAAATAATCTGAAAGTAATGAAACTAAGACTAGAAGCTGTAAAGGGAGAAAGTTGGTAGGTAAGAGAGGAGTAAGCTCAATTTTTTAATTTTTTTTCCATGGAATCAACTGTTCTGTAATTCACAAATCAAAAAGGAAATGAAAGTCTAATATTTATCCTTTAAATAGAAGCCATCACAAGAATTAAAAAAAGGGCTTTCAAAAATATTTATTTTATTTTAACAGATTGAGAGGCGCTCCCTGGTAAGTCTTGGCATTTGAGACTATTTTGTATGGATCACACTATTTTCAGACCATTTACTTTTGATTTATTGCTTTTTTAAACAAGCATGAGAGAAAGATGTCCATCCTAGATCCAACATGTACAGCAGTCCAAATCAATCAAATATGATTGGGAAAGACCGATGATTATCATGGGGCGGGACTTACGGTGGGAGTGGGGGTGGGTATTAGCTGTCTCATTCTTTTACTTTCACAGTGTTGATTGGATGCTTTATAGAAAATATGTATTAATATTATTTAAGGAAAAGTAATGGACTGGAGAGATGGTCCAGAGGGTAAAGCACTTGCCTTGCATGTAGCTGACTCAGTTTCCATCCCCAGCACTGTGACCTACCTAGTCTTGTCGGAGCACAGAATCAGGAGTACGCTCTGAACACAGCTGAGTGTGGCTGATAAATACAAGAGAGAGAGAGAGAGAGAGAGAGAGAGAGAGAAATAAAAATGAAAAGTAAAGGGATATATGTTGAGAAAAAAAAATTAGGCCAGAGAGTGCAAGGATTAAGGTTGGCCTTGCATTTGGTCAACCTTTGTTTAATGCTATTATTACATGGTCCTGTGAGCACTGCCAGAAGAGATTCCCCAGATGTAGATCTGGGAGTAGTCCCTAAACACTGCCGATATGACTTCTCCCTTCTCCAAATTTCTTATGGGCTGGAGAGATAGTACAAGGGTTAGGCACCTGCCTTGTGTGAGGCCTGTCCCTGTTCAAACCTCAGCACTGCATATGGTCCCCTGAGCACTGCCAGGAGTGCTCCCTGAGCATAGAAGCAGGATTAAGGCCAGAGCACTGTCACCTGCGCACCCCAAATCAAATAAAAATATTTTTATTAATATTTGTAAAGAAACAGGGAATTTTAAACAAGAAACGTTTGTTTAAAGCCTTACAGATTCTTCCCCCCATTTCCCTTTATGGCACTAATATTAGCTTAGTACTTTATAACTTCCTGTTATTTCCTGTTCTGGTTTTAATGTTCAGCATTATAAGCAATCAGAATTCTAAAATATTAGACTGAATCTTTGCCTCGGGTTCCTTTACGAGCTCTACCATAATGAAGGATTTCTTTATAAAGTCTTTCCCACGTCCCCCTCACTCATTGGGGAGTTTGCTCATCCAAAATAAATAAATGGCTGCTGCAACTTTTAATGCTAATTCTTAAAAGTAAGTTTCATGCCAGTTGCGAGGAAATTATACCCAGGAGGTAGATGTGGGTGTTCGTTTCTGCAGAGATGCCGTCGTTATTGAGTTATTGAGCCATTATGGAGAAGGTAGATTGCCACCTTGTCACTTTGGGAGTTTTTTAGAAAGTTATGATGAGCAGTTTTCAGACTTTAGTATTTCAGTTGCTTTAGAGATTTATCTCCTTATTGAGACTTTTTATTGAAGTGCCTAGAAATCTCAGTGAATAATCATCCCTCCGAGGTGAATACCCCTGCCAGCCACATAGCTAGTCACCATGACAGGGGGAATGAAAATGTTGAGAAGCATTCTCGAGGTCTCCTAACTATTCGGGTGGTTGTTTTGGCTTGTTTGTCTTTGTTTAGGAAAGGTCTTAGTAAGACTAAGTTCTACCTCAGCTTTGGATATCTTTCCTGTTTGTACACCCCTAAATCAGAACTCAGCAGAACTCTTTGTTCATATATATATATATATATATATATAAAGGTAAGGTAAAGGCCCTCCCGTTGATCGTCGATTTGCTCGAGCGGACCCAGTAACGTCTCCATTGGAGACTTTGTTGTTACTGTGTCTGGCATATCGAATACTCTCGGTAGCTTGCCGGGCTCTCCGAGAGGGGCGGAGGAATCGAACTCGGGTCAGCCATGTTGGCCGCTTGTAAGGCGAACGCCCTACCCGCTGTGCTATCGCTCCAGCCCATATATATATATATATATATATATATATATATATATATATGAGAGAGAGAGACAACACCTACAGCAGATATCTGCCTGTACACTCCCTAAATCAAAACTCAGCAGAACTCTTTTTCACCCAAGTCCAAATGCCAAGGTTGTAGGTGTTGCCTCTCTCTCTCTCTCTCTCTCTCTCTCTCTCTCTCTCTCTCTCTCTTGTTTCTGTCCATCCTTAACTTTCCTCTTGGAGACTCACAGTAGTCATATTTACATGATTGAGAGTTTCTGTTACAATACAACTTTATAACAGACCCCAATTTCCTGTAATTTATCCTTCAAGTCCTTTTTTTTTCTTCAAGTCCTTTTTTTTTTTTTCCTCAGAAAGAGAAAACCATGGGAGCCAGGGATGTAGCTCACCAGAAGGATCCATTTTTGTGTACACGAGGTGCTGGGTTAGGTCCCCTTCCTGGATGAGGAGGAATGTAGTTTGAGAATTTAGCAAAGCCAAGGGGATTGGATGGGGGTGGGGAGACAGTTTAATCTCTTAGAGCTATTTATTTAGCATGTTATTGTTTCTTTCATACACAGATTTTTTGTTTTCAGAACTTCCTGGCTGGTTACTTCTTTCATCTTCATAAAAGGAGATGATCGGAATTTGAACTTTGCTGTCTGGGATTTAACTACATGTTTTCCTGTTCCCTATCTGTGATGTTAGTCATTTACTTTACCTTAAACCTTGATTTAAAACTGATTTAAAAACCTTAAACATCTCTTAAAGCCTGATTTCTTCATCTAAATAGGGGAGATAACTTCTGAAAATGAGATCCTGCAATGCCAAGAATTTGGCTCTTCACTGATAAACAATAATATTTGCTGTCACCTTTATCATATTTCTCTTATTTATTTATTTTTTTATTTTTTGCTTTTTGGGTCACACCTGGCGATGCACAGGGAATACTCCTGCCTCTGCACTCAGGAGTTACTCTGGGCGGTGCTCAGGGGACCATATGGGATGCTGGGAATCGAACCCGGGTCGGCCATGTGCAAGGCAAGCGCTCTACCCGCT